GCAATGCAAGCTCGACAGTGAGCATGCATAAGGGCCTATACGCGATGATCGATTCTCTTCGTCGATTTTCTCTTTCGTTAATAACTCGCTAGATTGAATGTTTATCGGTGCGTTTGCTGTTGCTGTTGATAGCCAATACAACCTGTTACTACTCTGCATTGAACAAATTCTAGAAAATTGTTTCGCTTAGCTGTAGCAATGCAAAGAGAAAATCGATGAAGAGAATCGATCATCGCGTATTCGCCCTTATGTATGCTCACTGTCGAGCTGATCTTCGAGCGGACTTTGGATATTCGCAGGGCTGGTAGTGAGTCACTTTTTAGTGACTTGGTCACTTTTTAGTGACTTGGTCACTTTTTTCAAGCCAGTCACTAAAAAGTCTCTTCTTTAAGGGTAAAGTCACTAAAGTCACTTTTTCTTGTAATCAGTCACTATTTTCAACTTTTTTAGCGTGAATTTATTTCAAGATTGATCATTATTTGCTTTGTGACGTTAAATCATCTTTCTCTATCTACAGGGTGTCTACATTTTTCAAAATAAAATTTCCTGAGTTTTCCAGGTTTTTCCAGAACTTTAACGGATGAATTCCAGGCTTATAATAAGAAAGATATTTTTTAAATGCGTTCAAAATATGCTGTTTCTGAAAGATAAATGACAACTGTAATTAACCCAAACGTTTTTAAGACATGGCAATCAGTTTTAAAAAAACAACTTCATTCCATTGAATGTTGAAGTTTAGCACTTACTTAATTTCTCACTTTAATAAAGTTAAAAAAGAAACGTAATTAATTTGAGTTAGTCCAAGATCTAAAAATATTCAATAACTTGTAGTTTTGTATTTCATGTACAAGTTCAAGATATTGAAAATTTTCAAAGTGCCTGAATTAAGGAAAACATTAAATGATTTATTTTAGTTCGTAATTAACTTTATGAAAGATTAGAGATCTTCATTGCAGTCCCATTAACTTCACAACAATTGTAGGAACTTTAAAGAAGTTCTGAGGAATGAAAGGAAATGATGAAAATTTCAGTGAAGCATAAGGGTAACATAAGGTAAGTTAACACACTTAAATTATGGGGAACTTACTGGTGTTAAGCGAATTTGAGAATTATAGGAACCTTGTGAAAATTTTTAAGAAGTTCTAAGCACCTCAGAAAAGCTAGATCTAGAGATCTCTGGGGAATTTCAGATCTTAAGAGCAGTTCCCATGACTTAAGTTCAGACTTTTTGGAGCAGTTTAAATATCTATAATCGTAAATTTAGAAAAATTAAGAACCCTTAATATGTTCCGAGAATTTCAGGGAAGTACGGAGAATTTATGAAAACTTCAGAAATATTTCAGGAACTTCACTGAAGTCCAAAGAAATTTAGGGAAATTTATTTTCAATAGAATTGAGAGCTTTAGGGAAGCTTCGGGAACATCAAGACCGATCAGAGAATCAAAGGACTATTCAAATAATTTCAAGAAAATTGTAGAAACCTTAAAAAAAAGTTCCGGAAACTTTAGCAAAGCTCCGATAGAACTTCTGGAACGTGATACAAATTTTATGAACAACCGGAAAACGTGAGAGTATTTTAAGGATGTTTGAAGGAAATCGTGGATATTTAAAGAACTTTAACAAATGCGAAAATTTAGCTAAATTGATGAAAAATGCGAGAACTTTTATTAAATAGCGATAAATATTTTCAACAAATTCCAGAGAACTAAGAATTGAGATAGTTTAATGATATTCAGCGAAGTTCCGAGTACTTCCAGGACGATTAGATAGCTTCAGAATAATCCCATTAACTTAAGCAAAGTTGCAGAGACTTACAAGGAATTCCGTGGAATTCTGGGGTATTCCAAGAATTCTATGATTGATCCAAAAACGTCAGGGAATTTTGAATATATATATCCGAAAATTTGCCGGATTATAAACTTTAGGTGAGCAGCTCAACAATTTTAAGGACGGTACAATTAAATTCAGCGCAGTACAACAAGCTTCATGAGAACTGTAAAAACGTTAGAGCAGTTTTGAAAATTTAAGAAAAGAACAGAGAACCTCAGAGCAGTTCCGTTAACATTAGAGAAGTCACATAAAGTTTAAAGAAGTTTAGAGAACTTCAGCGAAATGTTAAACCTTTAGAAGAGATTCATGATCGTTAGAGGAAACTTTAGGAAGTCCTATAAAGTTCAGAAAAGTTTAAGAATTTGATGAGTAGTATTGTGAGCATCAGGCTAGTTTCTCAAACAACAAAAGAACTTCAAGGCAAATTCATTAACTTCTGGATGTGCACCTGTGGAAACGGTTATCACGACATCGAGCATGTTGTTTGGTCCTGCTCCTTGCATCATGAGGCGAGATCCGTTCTGTGTGATTCCCTTAGGGTCCGAGGAAAACAACCCTTTAAGCCAATTAGAGATGTCTTGGCTTGCCGTGATATCGACTTTATGAAGCTTATTTACGACTTTCTTAAAGCTGTTGATGTAAGTGTTTAATGTTTTGTGTTTTAGTTTAAGTTTTAAATTAGTTCAAAATGCTTTCCCTTGTCCTCCCTCCAAATGATCAATAAATGTAATCCCTAATCTCGAGTAAACCGCGAGTAATCGGCCCCCGTTCTACTAACATTAGTTGTAAGAAAATGATATTCACACACAATCATGTAAAAAATATTCGACGAAGAAAACGATTTGGCAAGCGTTTTTATTATCGTTGCTTTTCTCCTCCCTTCCTTTCATTGGTGAAAAGATGAGCGGTCAACCCAGCATTGAGCTCGCTCATGTGAGCATGCGCAATGTTTTGTGTGTTCGATTTGCGCTCTATCGTTGCGTCCGTGTTTGGGATTTTTCGGTATAGAAATTAAAGACGTAGTCCTACGTCAAAAATCTTAAAATTTCTTAAGACATATCTAACGCCCTGTTGTTGCAGATCAACCTCCCAAAATGTTAGTATGATATTTATAGTCAACCTATGTACGTTTCAATTCATCCAAAAAATAATCATGTTTCTATAGACACCAGCGATTTGGAACTGTCCAAACGCTGTTTTAATTTCTGGACAAAACCAGTTGACATTCCTAGTTTACGAGGCACCGTTCGAACAGAGAGATTCGGGTTTTCATTCAATATCCTCTTCACCTTTCGATCCATGGCAGGATCAACACGTCCATTGTTTATATCACTTCTCGGTTTCCTCTCGACCGTCAAGCGTTCCGAAAATGATTTGAGCACACCGTGAACAGTGGATTTAGGTAAGAAGTTCCCGTATTGACAAGTCAGGATTTGCATTACGTCCGTACAAAATCCGCTCGCGCACGTGTTTTTCATTCGTCGCCATCTTGAACACTAAGCATGGAATGTAAACACCAATCATAATCTTTTCCATCAATGACTCCCAGCTATACCTCAGCGAAATTTTTCACTTCTACGTGTAATATTTCTAAAGTTACAGTGATTTGAAGGTGTCCGGATTAATGTGGATAAAGGGTGTCCACGATGAAATTGTCACACACAAAATTGATTCGCAAAATTCGAGTTTTCATCCGATTGCCATCAAATTTTCAGGGATTGAGAAATAACTATTAAACTTCATTTTACCATTTTACTCGTATTTTATTTACAGTCCATACGCAAATGCCCGCACCTTGGCCTTAACCCCTGCCATAAGATTCTGCACAACCTGTGAATCAACCGTTTTTTGCATGTAAACCCATACTTTCTTCAGTTCCTCAACTGTCTTCACTACCTTAGGTCGTTTAAGAAGGTGCTGCTTCATAATCGCCCAGTACTTCTCGATGGGGCGGAGCTCCGGAGTGTTGGGAGGGTTGAACATTTTCGGCACGAAATTGACCTTATTGTCCGCATACCACTTCAGCACGTCCTTGGAGTAGTGGCATGAGGCCAAATCCGGCCAGAAGATTGTTGGGACATTGTGGGCCTTCAGGAGAGGAAGCAGCCGCTTCTGGAGGCACTCTTTTATGTACACCTGTCCGTTCATCGTGTCCTGGGTCACGAAAGGTGCACTCCGCTTCCCGCACGTGCAGATGGCTTGCCAAACCAGGAATTTCTTCGCAAATTTGGACATCTTCTGAGTGCGGACATGCTCCGGAACGCTGAACTTATCCTTGGCCGTGAAAAACAGGTTGCCGGGGATCTGTTTGAAGTCGGCATTCACATATGTTTCGTCGTCCATGATGCAGCATTCAACTTTCGTCAGCATGTTGAGGTACAACTTCCTGGCACGGGTTTTGGGGGACTTGTTCTGCTTCTCGTCGCGATTAGGGGCCTTTTGTACCTTGAACGTTCGAAGCCCAGCCTTAGTTTTGGCCTTCTGGACAAAACTTCGGCTTAGGTGCAGCTTCTTAGCCACATCCCTAAGGGAGGCGTTCGGATTTCGGTTGAAGGCCCCAACTACGCGGTTGTGATTTTTGGTGTTGTACGGAATACTTTTTCCTTCACTTCTGGGCTTCCGATCGGTGGTCAACCGTTCCTCGAACCGCTTAATCACTCGCGACACCGTGGAATTCGCGATTCCCAACGTTTTAGCGATGGAACGATGCGAGAGATCCTTGTTCTCGTGATGAATGCGCAAGATTTTATCACGCACGAGCTGTTCTTTCGACTCCATTTCCGCGAGTTTTGATCACAGGACTTTAAAACTTGCAGGATGTAAAGCACTATGAACTAAATCCACCCAAATTTTCATTAAATTCTACCCAACGGTTAAAAAGTTGGAGCAATTTCATAGTGTGGCAATTTCATCGTGGACACCCTTTATAGCCCTTAGAGAACTCTCGAACCTTTGGAAACTTTCAGCACTACAACCGCCTGGTGAACACGTTACGTATTCTGCAGTATTTGCGATATCTGTGGGTCGTAATCGTGACCCCCAACTGCTCAAGAGAAGTGCTGATCAGAGCGGGATACATGGTGGCCGGTAAAGAGCGTGGCAGTGTGATATTTCACTGAGGATATGAAAATAAAGCCAAATAATAAGTCTTCAATTGGTTGAATTGAATGTGTTTTTCTGTTTTCTGTTATATTTTTGCTCACTGAATCAAGCAGCGCAGCAGATGAATTTTACGAAAGGTATCTACAGATAATGTAAATTACTGAATTTGGTTGCGGTGTGTGCACCTACTCTGTGTATGTTTCTGTGTGTGTCTTGGTGCCTTACACAAATGTAACCTTCGGGTTTGCATACAAAACTTCACCGAAATGATGCATTCAACTAAGTACAAAAGGTTTATCTCACTTTTTTTTTAGCAAATTCATTTCACTAATGTGCGCGAATCAAAAGAGCACTGTGTGTAATGTAAGCATTTTAATTTCTAACAGTCGCTTCAGTTTGTTAAAGTTTTTTTTTATTGCGCGGAAAGAGAAAATGGAAGTGAAATGCCAGTTAGTGCATCCTAATAGGTGACTGAGTATCGAATTGGATAAGCTCTGTAATTCGTGTGTCTAAAGGTTTTTGCGAAATAGCTGCTTCTGGTTTTGTCACAACAAAGTGTCTGTGTGAGTAGGAGGATAGTGCGCGGGGTCATCGTGAAACTTTCTTGTTTTTTGCGGACAATTTGTTTATATTATGGTATCTAAGATCTAGCTTCCTAGAATCATCAATTTGTGGTTTACATGATTCTCGTCTTATAATCATTTACAGGTTTACATTAGGTACTCTCACATAACAGGAAAAAACTCTCTTTATACTCTTGTTTGCCTACAGTAGAATTTGATTGAAATATAGAAGTTCGATGTTGCTAAAATTGAATTCGACTTTCACTAACTGGGATCCTTTGTTTGGTTAGCTAAATATTCAAAGTAAACATTGTAATCTCTCCTTGGATCTTAACTTTGATTTGTTTTCTTATTATTGTTGATGATGTTACTGTTATCCTCTACGTGAACTAGAATCTGTGATCTACTGTGTAGTTGTTGCTTGAATATCATAGGCTGCCCTCGTATCTTAATTTAAAAAAAAATCTATTTTCAACTTTCAGGGAAAAAATAATCAGTGCCATAGTTAACTACCGTACTCGCTCCTACACTCTTAAATAAAACATAAAAATATTAAATAAACACAACTTTGGTTCGCAACGCTAAAACTTAATCAACAGGTTTCAATTTGCATTGGCTCTTTACCTAATCTTATAAGTTTCCCTAAGTATTTCATTCAAACAACTCGCTCTTAGCGTTCTCGTAAATACATTTTACTGTTTTTGTTTCTGTTCTTCTGTAGATGTGTTTGTGTGTATGGAAAGAGTTACAAATTGGCAAAACTGACACAACATGGTGGCGTCAAACCCATAATAATTATCCCTCTATATCTTGTTCTTTACATTCCACCGGTCAAACTGGGTTCCGCCTTTTTGTTTAAACTGGGACTAGCGATCGTAGTTGTGGATGTGCTACCGGTAGATGGCACCACCGAGGGTTGCTGCGCCGATACCGTTTGCACCAATTGCCGACTTGTAGGCGCTATCGGTTCGACGGCCTGCGGCTGAGTTGTCTGGGTCGGTGAATTATCGAACAATCTGATGAGCTTTTTCGGAATGACGTCCTTCTCAGCCTACGGAAGAATTACAATTCCTGAAATTTGAAACAAATAAATCCGTTTAACGTACCTCCGAAGCGTTCGCAGTAGTGGTGGTCGTGGCCGTTGTCGGTGGCACTTGCTTCTCCTCCGCCTTCTCCAGTCGTTCCTTGATCGCTTGTATTTCACTGGTTATCGCGCTGTTCTGTCCACCGTATCGATCACACTCTTCTCGAACCGTTCCCAGACTTCCCTTCAGTCCGCTGGTTACATTCTGCAGCAGGTCGATCTGGTCTGCTATCTGCTTGGCACTGCCCTCCAAACTGGTCAGATTGGTCTTCATCTCCACCCAGATGTTCTCGACCGATTTGACGTGCGAGGAAATGTTGGCAGAATTTTCAGTCAACTCGTCGATGTTGACTTTGTGGCTGGCCAGATCGTTGACAAGCCAGACGTTCTTCTGCTTCAGGGCCTGCAGCTCGCCGGTGAAGTTCTGCGACATGTTTTCGATCTGGGCCGATAGCTGATCCCGGATGTTGGCGATGGTTTGCTCGGTGACGTTGTTCAGTGTGTTGTCCATAGAGGTTGGAGACGAATTGTTACGGATCTGGACAAGTAGGGCCTGGGAGGAGATGGAAGTATGATTGCATTATATTTTTTGTTGTTGTGTGTGGAGTCACATGTTAGCCGTGATTAACATGAAAGAAGGATCGGAAACTGCAAGTCAGTGCTAAATTCGGTATACCTCTATCGTTCGCTTTCAATTGCTGTCGCACATGGCAGCAAAAGTTGTTTTTTGAATTAATTTGGATTTACAAACCTTAGAATAGAATCAGGAAAAATACGTACTTTTTTTTTGGAATTTTTAAGTTGTTTAGTTTATCTTAGTTAGAATACTTATGAATTATTTATCGAATCAAACAAAATTATAAACTGGGGAAATCTTCCCAAGTAAACAAAAGTTCCGCATTCAACAATAAAACTCACTTCCAAATTCCATAAAGTTCAAATAAAGTTGCTACAGAACCTTCAAGCTCCATAAAGTTCGAATAAACTTCTGACAGAACTTTCAAGTTCCATAAAGTACAAATAAAGTTCTGACAACTTTCTTCCCAAGCAACCAAAAGTTCCGCATTCAACGATAAAACCTACTTTCAAGTTCCATAAAGTTTCGATGCGTACTCCTAGCAACTTGAAGTTCACAAAAGTTCCAAAAAGCAACCATAAGCAACTTCAGGCAAGGCCACAACAAAGTTCCGAACAAGTTATCAGCGGAACTTCTTAGCAACTTTTAAGTATCTTTAAAGTTCCCTACTTCTTGAAAATTTATAATAAGGTCCATCATAGCCCACATGAGGCAATCCGCACAAGTCTTTATTAGTAAAAAAAAATTAACGTACGTAAATATGAAATGATCAGCAGTGGCTCCAATTAATCATAATTCTTATATTTCTGCAGTGCATCAATGTTCTATGCAAACATAAAAAAATAAAGATCAATTTCCTGGATTCGAACCCGGCATACGATCTACGTGTTGGAATACCATGCGGACAAACACCAATTTAAAATTCATCAAGGTTTTGTGTTTCGTATTCAAGTCAGCTGGCACTGAAAACTCCAACAGTAGGCGGGACAACAGCTCACTTTAATATATCTCAGATGTCGTAGCGGTTCGTGCTGGGGCTCTCACGAAGAAGGACTGGGTCTTATTCTTCAAACGGCTCCAATATTAATTTTAATGCTGATAAATCAATACACGTTCATACTAGGGGAAGTACAACTTGATCTAGAGTAATATTTGGTGTAAAAAATGCTCATTATTGGTAGTTATTATAGTTTTTAGTATAAATATTAATGATAATTACCAAGCGGAAAGCTACAAAGTAAATCAAATTAACAGTGTAGATTTAACGCATACACTCAATGACGTTTCACCGTTGTTGTTTATGTTTACTGCAGCTTTCTGTTTCATCATTTTTGCCTAGATTTTCGATTTCCATTGGTCTGATCGTTTTCGGCTTCGGCACTGGACTAGGCAAGTTTCCCCAGCAGCAAATCTCTCCAAATTGCAGGCTCATAGCGAATCGAGCGTAATACGACCACGGAACCATCACTCTGGGCAGAGATACCAGGTTTATTTTGAAAACATCTGGCACAAACCGAATCAAAAGTCTGGCAAAAATCTGGAACAGCAAATTAACATTGGGAATCTGCCAGTTTTCTCAAAAAATCTGTCCGGCAGAGCTGAAGTTTCTCTGGCTGTGCCAGATAAATCTGGCAACCTGGCAACGCTGACTCTGGGACTCCGTTTACAGGGGCGGCGTAGTCAGTCGATTACCGTTCCATCGGAGGACAGCACATTGGTTTGCAGACGAAGAAGAATTCGTGGAAATTAATGACTATTTCCTGGGAATGTGCACTGAGATCAGCTACCAAAGAATGCCGAATTCATGAGAACTAGAGTCGGTGTATAATGAGTCACGCCAAGAGAAAAACAGTTGAACTCGCATCACGGTTTTCGGAAGATTCCCATTCTTTTCACTTGGCAACAGAGGACTTCTACAACAACTTCAAATGACTTCTAGCGAGAGAAAAAATATTGCGGCTGTAGTACATCATTATATCAGTGATTTTGTCAAATTATCTTAACAAAAAATAGTAGAAATTCTCATTACTAATCATTACCGAGCGTATCCCATGACAATTTAACGCTCACTGCGTGTTTATGCTCATTTCTTCGATTATATTTTATATTTTATTGCAATACCTTTCGTGGACCTTTCATAGCATCGTAATGTTTATTTATTTTGCACGATAGGTAGCCGGTTTGACAGTTCAATAGGTAGACTTGGCTTCACTCTTGGCGTGACTCATTATACACCGACTCTAATGAGAACAAGGAGCGGATTTCTGTGGAGGTGGCCAGCAAGATCATCAAGGGACGACTTGTCTCTCGTGTGAAATCCATTTTTAATTAAACGAATGTCAAATGTATACTTAAAACCAAAAATTGTCAAACACAAAAAAAAACCCGAATTTATCCACCTATGGTGTGATCAGACCCTTCTTACTTATTCAAGTTTATTTATTTTATTGTCATTATCAGTGACCAAGCCCCCCACCCCCGTGTCATCCAGTGACGCTACGCCACTGCCTGGGGGAACACGGAATATATTCGGGTGTAGTCTATTTGGTGAGGCTACCAATCACCTTATCATCGTATTTTAATGTGATTTAATGGGTTTTAATTCAATTCATTTTCAAGCAATGTCCAAGTGTGTCCAATGTGGCCTGGAACACATAACACGACTTGCATTGATCTTATTTTTGAATTCTGTAGTAATTTGATGTGTTGCATGATGGTTTTAATACGTTTTCCGTTAAATCCAGCGTGAAGGCCCATATTCACCGGATCTTATTCCGGCCATATCTCCGGAACCGGTTCACCGATTCCAAAACCGTTCAATAGCGTTCAATGGGACCCCAAGACCTATCATTTGGCACCGAGTTTGTCCAAATCAGTTGAGCGGTTGCTGAGAAACGTGAGCGCATTCATTTCGTTACATTCACACACACATACACACATACACACATACACACGTACACACACACACACACACACACACACAGCATGTTACGATCTCGTCGAGCTGAGTCGAATGGTATATGATGGTTTTGATACGTTTTCCGTTAAATCCAGCGTGAAGGTCCATATTCACCGGATCTTATTCCGGCCATATCTCCGGAGCCGGTTCACCGATTCCAAAACCGTTCAATAGCGTTCAATGGGACCCCAAGACCTATCATTTGGCGCCGAGTTTGTACAAATCAGTTGAGCGGTTGCTGAGAAACGTGAGCGCATTCATTTCGTTACATACACACACACATACACTTATACACACACACACAGACATGTTCCGATCTCGTCGAGCTGAGTCGAATGGTATATGACACTCGGCCCTCCGGGCCTCGGATCGATAGTCGGTTTTTCAAATGATATCTATACCCTTCTTTGTAAGAAGGGTGAAAACAACTGTCAGACTAAGTGTAAGATTCGTAAATATCACACATATTGAAATATTTAATATTTCCACCATCGGTATTGATGCTGATACTTGGAGGTGTCCTTCCCCTAGCGTTCATACCTGCCTTTAGAAATAACTTTCATAAAGTGCGAACTAAATATAAAATTGGTGTGGAGGACAAAAACCTTTTTTAACTTATTTTCTAAAAGTTCCGTTCAAGTACCGCCAGAAGCTGCTTAGAATGCTCTTCAATTATGGTACCGGAACTTTCAAGTTCTTATAACGACTTAAAAATAAGGCAGCTTAGAATTCTATAGACCACCTTCAACCAAGCTGCTTAAGCCACAAATAGTCTTTTATCAGAACTTTTGGTTACTTAGGTTGTGTTATCATAGATTTGCTATTGAATCGTATTGTCTTAATTTTCAAAGTTGGTTGGGAATGCTATCTAACATGAAGGTTTAGTGTGATAATTTATTAGCTAGAGAATGGTCTTAGAAGAGGGTAGGTAGATAGTTCCGTTAGAGTACGGCACTATGACAATTGAATAGAAGTTGAAAATGAGCGAAGGGTCATTAATGCGACAGTACAAGTCAAACGCACACTTCTTTGCCTAATCCGTACGATGTACGAGGAGTCAATGAGGACGTATTCCTAACGATCCACATTTACGGGCAAAATTATAAAAAATGTCGATTTTTCTAGGCAAAATGAATTAATCTACTTTTACTTCACCTTTAATTAAAAACTAAATTAATACGTGCAAACTTGCTCGGTTTTTCTCCGTTTGTTTACAATTTGATAGTTTCGCTCTAACCAAAATTTACACCGGAAATGCATCAAGTCGACCAAATTTTGATCGTAACACTCTTTAGTATTACCTACGCAGATGATAATCATCTGCTAAGAGAAGGCCCTGGCAATCATAGCCAAGACGAACCATAAAAGTGGTATAGTCAATCCAGAGAAAAAAAAAAGCATTCCATTTGACAACCGCAGCTTTAAAAGCATGCTGCGGTTGTCGAATGCACTGCTAATTTTCCTCTGGATTGACAATTTCTGCATCGAGGCACAAATCCCCATAGTATTAGAGTCGGTGTATAAGAGGCACACCAAGCGTGAAGCCTATTCTACCTATTGAATTATCAAACCGGTTACCTATCGTGCAAAGTAAACAAAGATTACGATGCTTCACGAAATGTATTGCAATAAAATATAAAATATAATCGAAGAAATCTATACAGAGCTGGAAAAAGGGCTTATCTGCTTTGAACGATTCTCTTCATCGACTTTCTCTTTCGTTAATAACTCAGCTGCAACAACATTCCCTGTAGTATTCGACGATATGAACGATAGATAAAAACCCGTTTTTATCAATTTATGTGGCAAAATTAGTACGAAAATTGTTTGCATAGCCATTGTTATCGAAAGAGAAAGTCGATGAAAAGAATCGATCAAAGCAGCTAGACCCTTTTTCCAGCTCTGTATAGAAATGATCATAAACACGCAGTGACCTTTAAATTGTCATGGGATACGTTTGGTAACGATCAGTAATGAGAATTTGTAATATTTAAGATAATTTGACAAAATCACTGATATATAGAGTAACATTTGAAATGGGCCTATGTCCAAAACGTAAACAAATCGGGTTTTGATACCATTCTTTAGCACCGCTTTATAGCTACTAATCGTGTAGGAAAGTTCGGCATAATCGAGAAAAATCATTAAAATAGCTCGATTTTCGAAACGGCCGATCAACGAAATTTTTTGATTCATAAAAACGGCCAACCATTCATTTATTTCATTTCATTGATAAGCCTAGTGACGTAGAAGGGCCGATGATTGAAAATTTTCAAACCAAAGCTAGGCCCTACTGGTTGAGGAAGGGCCGATGATTTGTTTTAAATTTATTTGACGATGCGAAAAGGCTTAGCAAAGGGTGTACCACTTGTGATGACAAGCACAACGGCTTAACAAAAAGGGTCTATCCCATGAAAGATTCACAAAAAGGCTTAGTAATTTATGAAATTAAATTGTTATCGATTTTCATATATTTTGAAAGCTTTTCGCATATTTTGGATGTTGTATACTGAGATACAGTTACTATTGTTATTGTGAACAATATAAATGCCTAAAATACTTCAATTTTCTTAAATATGAATTGAATAGTGGCGGAATAATTTAAAATTCATTTTCTGGTTTGTTTACGTTTTGGACATAGGCCCATTTCAAATGTTACTCTAGATATAATGATTTACTACAGCCGCTAATTTGCATTCTCGCAAGAAATCATGTCATCATCTCAGCAGTAGTCATCTGTTGCCAAGTGAGCGGGTAGGGAATCTTTTGAAATCCTTGATGCGAGTTCCACTATTTTTCTCTAGACGTGACTCTTAAGGCTTGTTCCATTTGGTGAATTTTCACTCATATTTGACAGATGGAAAATTTTCAAACAAACCTGCTGTTGTACTAGACTTATTCCCGGCAGACAACAGAGCCCAAGTAACATTGCAAGCTTTATAGAGGTTTTATAGTATTCTACAAGTCCAAATCATGGTCTACAGAACCCTCATAAAACCAAAATTGTTACTTTGGAGGGGTCTTCGAACATTATAATTTATTTTCGAAGCGTCAAATTTAAGAGAAAATTTCCCAAATGGAACACAGCCTAAGTGCGCCCCTAAGTTTACCCCTACCACGATATGTGCTCCTGTCATCGTCGACTTCACGATCTCGAGGGGACACGGGTGGGGTAGGTGCTGCTACTGTACCTTTCGACCATTGACAGTAATTGATGGTATGCTCCCATCCAGAGTTATGTACTTTGACTATATGTTTTTAGTATTACTTCTACGTGAAGTCAACGATTTACATAGTTAAGCGTAAGGTGCAAGCGTCCGGTTATGGTATTGAAGTTGAATGAAATAAGTATGCCAAAAGCTTACTAATAGGTTATACTTGAAGATGCTAATTTCAAATAACAGACTGTAGTGGTAATTTTTATACGATAGATGGAGTAGATGAAAGCATAGAGTTGATAGTTCCGTTAGAGTACGGCAGTGTGAAGATTGTATATAGATATTAGACAAGCGAGCTAGGACAACTTTTAAGGAAGGTACAAATCGGTTTTTTCATCTCTCTTTACCAAACACCCCTCACCATCCCTATCCAGGGGGAGTTTGGTAAAGAGAGATGAAAAAACCGATTTGTACCTTCCTTAAAAGTTGTCCTAGCTCGCTTGTCTAATATCTATATACAATCTTCACACTGCCGTACTCTAACGGAACTATCAACTCTATGCTTTCATCTACTCCATCTATCGTATAAAAATTACCACTACAGTCTGTTATTTGAAATTAGCATCTTCAACTATAACCTATTAGTAAGCTTTTGGCATACTTATTTCATTCAACTTCAATACCATAACCGGACGCTTGCACCTTACGCTTAACTCCACTCATTAGGTTCTGTACAACATCCGGCTGCAGCTTCTTCTGTACGGATACCAACTTTATCTTCATGTCTTCCTCAGATTTGACCTCCTTGGGATGCTTCCGTAGTGCCTGCTTCATAATAGCCCAGTATTGTTCGATGGGCCTTAGTTCCGGCCCAAGCAACACACATCCATCAAAATAGGTTGCTGCAACTTGATTGTGACTGAAATAAGGTGCATACAAGTAACCACAACAGTTAAATGACAAGTGTGCTGCTAGGGGGTGCGTTGGGGGTGTTCATGTCCTTGGCTTTGTACCACTCCAGGACAACATTTGAATAGTGGCACAAAGCTAGATCCGGCCAGGAGATCGTAGGGCCCTCGTGTTGCTTCAACAGAGGAAGCAGACGCTTCTGTAGACACTCCTTGAGGTAGATCTCCCCGTTTACAGTCCCGGTAGTCACGAACGGCACACTCCGTCTGCCACATGAGCAGATCGCTTGCCAAATCATGTATGTCTTGGCAAACTTTGAAAGTTTCTGCTTCCTTACTTCCTCTGGAACATCAAACTTGTGATAGGTGGTGAAGAACAGTAGCCCCGGAAGCTGCCGGAAGTCCGCCTTGACGTAAGTCTCATCATCCATGATGAGACAATGAGGCTTCGTCAGCATCTGGGTATACAGTTTCCGGGCCCGTGACTTTCCCACCGTATTTTGCCGTTCGACACGATTTGGAACCTTCTGCACTTTGTACGTATGCAGTCCCTTCCGGTCCTTGGCTCTCTAAATGAAAGACTTGGACAGATTCAACTTTTCGGCCACATCCCTGACCAAAGCATTGGGATTCTGCTTAAACGCTTTCACGACACGCTTGTGATCCTGATCACTAATAGAACATCCATTCTGACCGCATTTCGCCTTCCGTTCGATGCTCAGAGTTTCGTAATAACGTTTAATCACACGACTCACCGTTGACTGCACGATTTCGAGTTGTTTTTCGATGTCCCGATGAGAGAGTTGAGGATTTTCCAGGTGCTTGCGCGAAATTATTTCATGATATTGCTTTTCGGGTGACGCCATTTTTTACAACTTTCGAAACACTGACAGCGATAAAAATAAAGTGTAAACAAAACACTCTTAACTACTTCAACCCAAATTTTCAAGAGAAAATACTCAATGGGTAATTTTCTACAGCGTTTTTTCCGTGATGCAATTTTATGTGGCATACCCTTTACTGTCATTTGGAACGAAATTTGGCACCTTTTTCAATGCACGTCTTGCTTGTTTTTACAAAACCAAATTTTAATACATTGGAATTCCCTCAATTCATTTGGGTTTTAAAAGCCACACACACACACACACACTCACCTGCAAATCTTCCACGTTCTTCCTCAACGCCTTCTGGTCGCCCTGCGCCCTCTGTTCAGCCTCCTCCAGGTTCGTTATCCGGGTGATGGCGTCCCCAATCTTGGACCCAAGGTCGGCCACGTTCGTCTTCAGACTATTAAGCTGCGCTTCCTGGGAGTTTTCGTTCTTCTTCTCTATCGTATCCCGGAGCTGTTTGAGCTGTTGTAGTGGCCGTGAAATGATGGGAAAGTAGGGCGCAAACATGTTAGAATTGAGAGTTGTAAGGAAATCAAAGGGTAGTGCAGCGGGTGGTTGGTTCGGTGTCGTCTTACCTCGGTGGAGAAATTGCCCAGTACTTGTTGAATCTCGCGCAATTTGCCGTTCAGAGCCGTTTGGTTTTGCTCGAGATTTTTCGACGTTTCGTGCCACTTTTGTAAGGCTTCCGGCACATTTTGACTAGTGGCTGAAACTGCAAGGGGTTGTTGATGGTTGCGGGGTGCAATCAGAATCCGTATTAGAAAGGGCGGAAGAAGGAAGAATTATATATTAGTAAGGGCTAATTAGAATGTAATTACGGGAAGCCGTTTAGGTGGTCATAAAAACATCGTAACGATACAGCAGCGGTAACTATGTGGTGTGTTGAGAGGTCTACTTTATGCTTGGATGAATTCAATTCAGAATTTCACACAAAAGATGCTATTAGGTTCGGTATCAAAGAAGTTTTGTGACGACGTAAGAAATTTGTTAAATTTTCATTCAAGCTGAAATTGAGTTGAATTATAAAAGGTAATGAAACTTGTTATTGTGGAGAACCGAAAGATAAAACGAACAATTTCCCTCCCATCAGAGGATAAAACCGGCAGCGGTCTGAAAATGTTCATCCATAAAATCTTATCACACGAGATTGCTACCGCAATGAAACCCGGCAAAACCACGTGTGTGTGTAGGCGGTGTAGTCGGTGGTTCACCTTGCTCGATGCGGATTCGGTACTCGGAGACCTGCTGCCTGATGTCAAAGTACAGCCAGTACATGAAGCCGAGCGAGAGGAAGATGCAGGACACTAGGATGAGCGGGCCGCAGGTGCGCACACAGGAGAACCTCTTCCTCCGGCAGCGGGACTGGGTTCGTACCTTGGGCTGCTGCTTTCTCGTTCGGGGTCGGGTAGTGAGGATTAGATTTCATCGGAGGTGGAAGAAAAAGTAGAGTACAACAAACGATAGAGAGAGAGAGAGAGAGAAAGAGAGTCATTAGTCAAACGGGTCTTTAGGGGTGCCATTCTGTAGCAAACATGAAACGTTGCTGCATTTGTTTGGATGGTTCAACTAACCCATGAGTAGTCTTCCTGGTCGTCGGTTGAGTTGGACAGTAGCTGATCGTGGGAGGCGATTCCGTTTCCGGCGATGTGACGTTTTCCTGAACTGTGAATGAGGGTTGGGTTTGTGTGGTTAGTAGTCGTAGTTTTACTGTAATTAAGTCTTATGTAAGCATTGAAAATCTAGTCGAATTCAGTTGCAGAAAGTATGTGGCTCTCATATCAAGAAGACTGGCCTGTGATGGTTCTTATGCACGGTTACTCCATAAGTAATCAGCTACGAAAACCGATTATTTGGGCAGAGCAATATCGATCTACAGCCCAAGTAACAATTCAGTAACCATTTGGCATCTACTCTGATTTATGATGGGTTTATAACGGCAATGAACAATCCATTTAGCTTAAATACAGCATTTCAAAGTGAAAAACATTGCTGCTTAGTAATTCAGCTTTTTGCTGCTTTAAAAACCTTTTGTAGTCTGGCAAGAAAGTCAAAAACTGACTTGTTTTAAACATAAATTTAAAACAGTTCTCAATCCCTCCTTAAAACTGTTCTGTAAATCAAGCATAAACGTCATTAGCAATTGTTTATTAATGTCTTGATATAATACTTAATAAACGTGTTCTATCATTATAAAAGCAACCATAAAACCATTAGGTTTTGCATTAGAGCCAAAAGCATTTATTGCTGCTTTTTGGGCTTTTTAAAATGCATCATAAACACCCAATTACTCTGTTTACAAATTGAGCTTGAAGATGGTTCCTCATAATTAATAAAAGCCAAATTTATGACGAGGAAATCTCGAAGGATAGACGAAGTAGGATGAATAATTCACGTCCTTCTCAGCAAAATTTACTTCTTTAAAAGAACCAGCACACCATCAACGACTGACCATCTGGCGGAGAAGAGCAAAGTGAGCGGGCCCTCGAATGCATAAAACATTGTCGAAAGTTTAAAAGACATACCCGCCTTTTCCATTAGCTGGTTTTGTACGTACAGGTGCACTTCTGTAACCATCCGGAAGAAGGGAATCTTTTTCGGGAACGAAACCAGTTGTTCGAAATGTGAAATGTTGTAAAACAGCATCGCAAACTATCTGGATAACCGCCTGGAAGAACCTTGGATCCCACATCGCAACTACCGAAAGATAAACAAACTTTGACGTTTGTAGGCAAGCTTGCCTCCATAAATGCTGCCATAAATCTGAACGGGTTGGGATCCAGCAATATGGCTTTAGATAAATACTATTCAGCCTGCAAGTTTTCTCCATAAAAGCCATTTTAAAACCTTATGAATTTGTTTAGGATTTCTTGAAAGCAAAACAACTTTTTCACAAATGACCCATGAAAATCAACTTTTATGCCACCGCCATGTTACAATTAGTTTGCTTGCTTTTTACAACCTTCGAATTTCAATCCACATTTCCTTGGATATAACTATATTTTGGTAAATTTAGCAATGAGAAAACATTTAAATGCGAAAATCATAAAAAAATCTCGGCCAAGCTCGATCTGAAGAAAAACATTTTTTTTTTCAATGTAAAATAATTAGTCAAATCAAAGTTTTACGAGGGTGGACTTATTTTTTCAATGTATTCACGTACATTTCACATAACATTTAATAAGGCACATAAAACCAGACCACTTAAAGTGCACTTTTGTAATAAATTTGGATATTCAACAAGATTTTTGTACCATCAATTTCTATTTTAATTATTTTAATAAGATCGGATTCATAAATCCTTTTCGATCTCGATTGATGCTTTCCTAGTGGATTTAGCAAGCGGCTAGGGGAAATGGCTCGAAAAGGGGTTTTATTGTTGCTTAATAGCTTTTATTATAGGTCACACCATATTATTACATTTTAATGTTACAAAATTATGACAGATAAACTGAACCTCATTTAAGTTCGTCTCTTACCTGTGTTGAATCAAAAATCTATCAAATAACGAACGCTGTAATTCCATAAATTTAACATCAATTAATTTGTTTCATATTAAAATATTTGTGTGAGTTTGAACTGATCTATCCTCGTTTACACAAGACATAGGGCGGTATTTACATTTGCAAACATTATGGTATGCCATGAAAGTTGCAAATCGTATACTGACAAATCAATGCGTTTCATTCGTGCAATCTCTATTTCACAAGTAAAGACATATGAAATGAAAGATGAAAACAAAAGTAAAGTTCCAACAACTCTGAAGAATAAGTAGAAATTATCAAAATTTCGATTTATATAATCATTATTCCAAAGGCACCTTTATTTCTCTGGTGACAGAACTCTGCACTAAACTGTGCACCATTCAATAGATATTGTGCATCTGAACAACTCCAAAGGTAGCAAGTCACTTCGTTTACTGATGAAGAAATTTTCAATTAAACTGGCCACCATGCAATAGGTCTTATAAATCTGATCAACTTTGCCAAAACCAGCAACCACCTATCTAGTTGACCTTTCAAGTTAAAGCAAGTAATTATAAGTTAAATCTTATACTCGTGCCGCCTGGTGTGAGAATTAAGAAGAATTCCTAGAAAATCGAGGAAAAATTTACTCACTCACTGAGTAACCCAACTTTGAGTCGCATACGACTAATTTTTGAGTAATTCTCATTGGCCATGTACTAGTATACACACTTAGAAAAAGTCATGTAAATTTAGGTGCTCTGAGACTAACACATACAAGCGTCAATTTTGACATAAAAATGAGTCTCATAACAGACGCGAAATTCAACTCAATCAAACGTACTTTTCGTCGAGTAACGAACTTTTCAGTCTCGGTAAGTGCTCCATGCTTACATGAAATATTTGTTTACGTCTGATCCTTTATGTCAAAGATGTATTCCGTCACGTGTAAAATTAGCTATTTCTATGTGTGTACTCATAGACTGAAAAGACTTAAAAAATTTCTTATACCATTTCAAGCAGATTTTTGAGGCAATGAGTAACCCCAATTTCTACTATTTTGAGAGAAATCCTACTCAACTTTGAGTTAGTCTTATCGGCCATATACGAAGTAAACGATGTGACAACCGCCACATCCACAGACGAACTAAAGCAAAAAGTACATAACCTTGCAAGTGGTCGTCTCTCTCTGTTCTTTTTTTCCTTGATTTATTTTCCGTCGATCTTGTTTTCCGTGCTGAGCACCAATGCTACCGACGCCAGGGAGGCAACTCTCACACCTGAACCCTACCTATCGACCATCAACTCATGAACCGGGGACCAACTGTCGCCCTTTGCTCATTTCCAACTTCTATCCAATTTTCATACTGCCGTACTCTAGCGGAACTATCTACCTACCCTCTTCAGACCTTTCTCTAGCTAATCAATTATCACACTAAAGCTTCATGTAAGATAGCATTTCCAACCAACTCTGAAAATATTGTATTAGTTTGTTTAGCAATGATTTCGATAAGTTACATTTTCAGTGGCTGGGGTTTTAGAATAATTATTATAAGAGATGGAATGTTGTTTCTATGATTACTTCTATACTTATAAACAATATTTTGAGCAACAGCTAATTACTATTTGAGATTTGCATCCTAATGATACCGCTGATGATATTGGTGGAAGCTCTTTCACTCGAAAGCAAAATATACTACACGCGTATCATGATGCGAGCTTGCGTGTGTGATTGTTTTCTCAAGTGTTTATGTTGCGCAATGAGTGAAAAACGGAGCAATCACAAAAAAGTGAGAATCAACGTCTGCGCAGGCATCTGTAGCCCTGAGCCCTGGTAGTTATGTTGGTGAGGGACTCCCAACAGTTTTAATGTGCCCTCACCAGATGGCACTGCCACTGGGTGGTGTATCCATTGCCTTATTCGAAGAAATGGTTAGTGGGATATCTTGTTAATTATATATCTTTGGTAAGAAGCATACCTGAAGTAGCATTTGAGGGGGATGGGGTGCCTTCAGAAGTTGTGATCGGCCATGCATTAGGTATAGAGCATTTCCAGGCCAAATAGCAAAAAAAAAGTATTTCAGACTCAATCGCTCACAGTTTTGCTAAAATTTGGCCATTTTGAGTTTAGCAAAAAATTTGAAATGGCGTATTCGATATTTTTCAACAATTCATAGTTCGAAAACGTTACTTCCAATCAAAAGATATCTGAGGCAAAGTTGTAGGAAAACATAATTCCTTTCCACGAAAAATATACACGGTTAAACGTTTTTAGTAATTTAGGGAAATTTTTCAAAATAGGGGAAATGGATATAATGTAAATGCCCCTAATTTGGGCCCACACAAAAATTCAACAATCGACTAAATTTTCAATAGCGACCAAAATATCCAGTAGTACCATCCCAATGACGCTTTCATCCAGATAAAATTAATAACCAGCAGAATCTTAGATCCATAGGCCAACATTAGAGCCATTTCCCCTAGTGTTTATACTTAAATAACAAAAAACTACGCTCTTATTTTAACATTACATTGTAATTCGCCTCATGAAGCTCTTTTAATGTTATCATTAGAAACCTTATTAAAAATGCTATCTTCAGTGAAAATTTCAAGTATCACACTTTGAAATAAACACAAATTATAGAACATCAAGTTTTGGTCAAATATTTGAACTATAAGTTTATTAATTTTCTTTAAAAAAAAATTGGCACAGAAAATGGTTTTGAAAGTCTAAACCAGAGATGCCCAACGTGGTCTCTCGATCCCAGCAATGATATCATTCTGGCCCAATTGTTTTCATCATTATGAATTTTAGCCCAGAATGAATGAGAAATAAACAAAATGCAGCTAGAAATACGTGCATTGAACATAAAGGGTGGAACGAGCAAAACGTAGCCACACAAAATTAAGTGTAGAAAAATAATTTTGGCAGCTTACTCGCACATGAAGCCTTGATGTTGTTGAGTTCACTCTAAGCTTTGCCAAATATGAATTAACGAACTTCACGGTAGACCCCTTCCATTTAATTTTACACAACCTTATTGTAGAGTCAGTGTATAATGCGTCACGCCAAGAGAAAAACAGTTGAACTCGCATCACGGTTTTCGAAAGATTTCCTTTCTTTTCACTTGGCAACAGAGGACTGCTACGTCAACTTCAAATGACTTCTCGCGAGCAAAAAAAAATTAGCAACTGTTGTAAATCATTATAACAGTGATGTTGCCGTACAAGCTGGCAACGCTGGTTAGTATCATAGTACCAACTCTGCAGAATTAATTCCAAACGGTGATGACGGGCGAACATCAGAAACTCAGGAAATACAGAACAAAGCCCTATTAAATGCGTGATAGATAGTGCGTGGAAGGCAGATGAAATTAAATAATACAGTGAATTTATTAATATTCCTAACACTATATACGTAATCGTATTACTACAGTAAGCTGAGGCTATTTCCGTACGTCAAAGTGATTTCAGCTGGATAACGTAAGAACGTAACTTAAAATTACTATATATTCTTACATAAACAATTTAATTATAATTTATCATAGGTGCGAACTAATCGCGCTAGAAATCGCAGTACCAAATACCTAAAATTTGATTAATTAAATTGACGTATAATTGTGAGTAAAACTTAAAGAAAAACAATATGCAGATGAAAATGTAAAATTTATAAAAGTTATGTACTTACAGCCCATAGTACGATATTTAATTCTATTGTTAGCGAGCCTAACCTAAAATACGAAGCCTACACTGAATTGTAAGTCTACACTACACAATATTAACCGAATATCTAAACTAATAAAAATAAATAATTCCAGCTTAAGCTCATTTGCTAAAAGACCGTGTTTCGTGTTTAGTTTATTCGTTGGAATAAACTTAAGAATTCAAGGCACGATGGCCAATAACAACAACACTGCCTCGAACAATTATGATAGTGCCTGCATGGCCTGTGATCATCCGGACTGGGTTGACGACATGGTACAATGCGAAGAATGCGAAGGTTGGTACCATTTTAGATGCGTCAGTGTAACCCGGTCTGTCGAACTCCGCCACTGGGTGTGTAGCAATTGTTTACCAATCAGTGTCAGCAGCCAGTCATCCCGAGCAATCAACAGTAAGTCGCTGGCGCAGCAGCGATTGGAGGACGAACAGCAAATCCACCGTAATCGATTCCAGAAAGAAATGGATCTTGAGAAGGAGCTGATTGACCGAGAGAAAAGGCGGATAGTGGAAGAAGAAGAGATGGAGATGACCTTCCTTCTTGAGAAGTACGCTTTGTTGGCGGAACAAGATGCAGACGATGAAAAGAGCGTTGCAAGTAATAGGAGTCGCTGTCGTGTTAGCCGGGAGAAAATTATCGACTGGATGAGGAATGACGGATCAAAGGAGGCTAAAGCCAGTACACCAAATGAAACCGGGACGGCACCAAATCCGGAAATCACTCTTCTGGGCGAACACTCTCGCAACAGAAATTTAGTTTCACCACGTTCAGCAGTCAACCAATCTATGACACTACAACAGCATATTGCTTCGAGTAGCCGTATGTATTCTCAAAATCCTGCATCCGCTCCGGTAAATCAGAAACTCGTACCGTACAAATCATCAGCGACACTTCTTCGTCGACAATCACGTGTAAGGTTAACTACCCCAGCAGTGCCTCCAGTTCCCCCCAGCAACGCTACGGATGAGGACGCCAGTATCATTATTCCGCCAATGTCTTTCGAGTACGTTCCTTCTGACGTGGAAGCTGACCTTCCCCCTCGTATTAACCGCAGAGTTAGAGGTGCACAGCCATCAGTACGAAATTCCCAGACTCTGGATATTGTTGGCCAAAGAACCTCTGCGTCGCAAATGCCGCCACGGGCGAACGTGAGATACACAAATCCCCAAGCTAGTCCAGCACCCAATACCGAAGATGAAATCATAGCGCCGGGACAGGGACCCTCTTCAGTGCAAATTGCAGCTCGTCGGGTGATGTCACGGGATCTCCCTGAATTTGATGGGAAACCTGAAGACTGGCCCATATTTATTAGTCAGTACAACATCACAACGCAATGTTGTGGGTTCAGTGATGCAGAAAACCTTGTCAGACTACAACGATGCCTGAAAGGACATGCTCGAGAATCGGTTCGCAGCCGGTTACTTCTTCCCGCATCCGTTCCTCAAGTTATAGAGACGCTCAAGATGCTCTACGGGCGACCCGGGTTACTTATCACTGCTCTGTTGAACAGATTGCGCTCAGCACCCGCACCGAAGATGGAACGCCTCGAGACGCTAATCGAGTTCGGGATGGAACTTCAAGGGCTATGCGATCACCTAGTAGCTGCGGGAGAAATCGCTCATTTAAACAATCCCTCGTTGTTGCAGGAACTAGAAGACAAACTGCCTTCACAACTGAAGCTTCAATGGGCGATGCACAAACAAACCGTGACAGGTGTTACATTGCAGACATTCGCAACGTACATGTCACAAATGGTTACTGCGGCAAGTCAAGTGACTAAGTTAGTTAATTGCTTTAGTGACCGTCGGGCAGGTGATCACAAAAAAGGTGGAAATCAAAAGGAGAAAGCACAGGTGTATACGCACAGCTCGAACAGTGGAGGAAGTGCACCTGGTGGCAGTGCGAATTTAGCAGCTTCCACAGGACGGAATTGCGCAGTCTGTAGTCAACCGGATCATCGAGTCAAGGAGTGCAAGCAATTTTTAGATCTCGACGTAGAAAATCGTTGGCGCAGAATACACAGCTTGAAGCTGTGCCGGACTTGTCTCAACCAGCACGGGAGGAATCGTTGTCGATTGTCTACGAAGTGCGGGATTGATGGGTGTGAGTTCAAGCACCATCCGCTGTTACACTCCAAAACGGAAAACAAGGTCAAGCCAGCTACTGCCGAAAACCATTCGCATCGAGATAATGGATCGAAAACATTGTTCCGAGTCGTTCCTGTAACGCTGACGGGGAGAAGTGGAACCGTTAACACATTCGCTTTCTTAGACGATGGTTCCTCTCTAACGTTGGTGGAGAAATCGGTAGCAGAGCAATTGGGAGAGTCCGGACCAAAAGGAGCACTGTACCTGAATTGGACCAGCAATGTAACCCGTTGCGAAGCTGACTCCCAAGAAATATCTTTCAAAATTTCGGGAATATCTAGTGGAAAATCATTCCAAGTCAAGTCAGCCAGAACTGTGTCAGAGCTGAACCTTCCAATACAATCGTTGAATCCGGAACAACTTTCCTTTCAATACACCCACCTCACAGGACTACCGATAGCGAAATACGAAAACGCTGTGCCACGCGTGCTTATTGGCTTGGACCAATTGAACCTGTCAATGCCGCTGAAATGCCGGGAAGGGCACAAAGGAGAACCAGTAGCCACAAAAACGCGACTCGGGTGGTGTGTATACGGCGGGGGTAATGCGAAAACCGTAGGGGTCAGTTGCCATATCTCGGAAGTCCAGCCAGAAACGGATCTTCACGAGGTAGTCAAGCGATACTTCGAGCAGGAAGATACAGGAACTAAACCTGTCGTGGAATTGGAATCAGTAGAAGACACGAGAGCGAAAAAGATTCTGGTCGACACCACGGTTCGTGTAGACGGTCGGTTTGAAACTGGGCTCCTCTGGAGATATGATCACTTCGAATTTCCAGAAAGCTACCACATGGCTCTTCGTCGATTGGAGTGCTTAGAACGGAGAATGTCTCGTGAACCTGCACTAAAGGAGAACGTCCTCCAACAGATTGAGGACTACCAAGCGAAAGGTTATGCTCATCTTGCTACTGAGGAGGATCTGGCAAATGCTGACCCACGCAGAACATGGTATTTACCACTCGGCGTTGTGACCAATCCCAAAAAACCTGGCAAAGTGCGATTGATTTGGGATGCTGCGGCCAAAGTGGACGGCATCTCTCTCAACATGGTTCTCCTAAAAGGACCAGATCTGCTGACCTGTCTTCCAGGGGTTCTTTGCCGTTTTCGAGAGAAGCCCGTGGGGGTAAGCGGAGACATACGTGAAATGTTTCACCAGTTCCGTATACGACGTGCAGATCGCCCCGCTCAAAGCTTTCTGATGCGGAAGGATTCTAATAAAAAACCCGATGTGTATTTCATGGACGTAGCCACCTTTGGCTCCAGCTGCTCACCGTGTAGTGCGCAGTACATCAAGAACCGGAACGCTGAAGAATTTGCTGTCGACTATCCCAGGGCAGCGGAGGCGATAATCAAGTGCCACTATGTGGACGACTATCTGGATAGCTTCGACCACATCGAGGATGCTCAACGAGTTGCTGCTGAGGTGAGAATGATCCATGGAAAGGGTGGTTTCGAAATCCGTCGTTGGCGGTCCAATTCCCAGGATGTACTCAACCATCTAGGCGAAACGGTGTTTCCGGTAGTGAAGGACCTGAACTTGGATAAAAGCGACGGGGTGGAAAGAGTTCTCGGTATGCTATGGTTCCCAATAGAGGATGAATTGGGATTCTCAACTCAAGTGCGCAATGATATTGCTGCAATCATCGACGAAGGCAGACGACCAACCAAGCGCCAAGTTCTACGGTGTGTCATGTCATTATTTGACCCCCTCGGATTGTTGGCCGTGTACACAGTGCATGGAAAGATTTTGATTCAATCGATATGGCGCTCGGGATCAGACTGGGACGAGGAAGTTGGAGAGGAAGCATTCAACCGTTGGCTAAAATGGATTGGAATCTTAAATCAGGTGGATGGTATTCGCATTCCTCGTTGTTACATTGGTCAAACTGCTTCCACTTCATTGCACTCCGTAGAGCTACACGTATTTGTAGATGCCAGCGAAGAAGCATACAGTGCAGCAACTTATTTCCGTTTTATTCTTGTCGACGGGACCGTCATCTGCAACCTAATTTCGGCGAAGACGAAAGTGGCACCTCTCAAAACGTTATCGATACCTCGCCTGGAACTTCAAGCGGCCGTCCTTGGGGCTCGACTTGCGTCCTTCGTCAAAGACAGCCACACTCGAACCATAAATAAAAGGGTTTTTTGGTCGGATTCTAGCACCGTCTTAGCCTGGATTCGGTCGGACGCCCGAAGATACCGACAATATGTCGCGTGCCGCATCGGTGAGATTCTCACGCTATCGGAAAGCAGCGAGTGGAGATGGGTGCCTACCAAAATGAACAGCGCCGACGAGGCGACGAAGTGGGGGCACGGACCTTGCTTATCGTCGGAAGGAAAATGGTTCCGCGGCCCAGAGTTTCTACAACAACCGGAGCAGCAGTGGCCACAACAGAATTTCAAGCAGAAAGTCTGTACAGAGGAGGAGCTTCGACCATGTTTCGTGCACGGAGTCTTGACGTTGGAGCCTCTAGTGAAGTTTGAACGATTTTCCCTATGGATGCGTCTTCTCCGAACAATAGGCTACATACTACGGTTCATTCAAAATGCTCGTAGAACTAAAGAACAGCGAGACGTAACACCGTTGAACTCCGACGAAATTCAAAGAGCGGAAAACATTCTTTGGCGTCGCTGTCAGGAAGAATCCTATCCGGACGAGATCGCCCAACTGAAGGCGGATAAGAAAAATGTTGACAAATCATCACCAATTTATAAACTGTCTCCGTACATCGATGAGTGTGGAGTCCTAAGGCAGGATGGGCGAATTGGAGCGGTAGCAAACACAGGGTTCAACGTGAAGTTTCCGATAATCTTGCCGAAGTTACACCGAGTGACAACTCTGCTTCTGGATTACTATCATCGTAAAAACCATCATGCGAATCCCGAAACGGTGGTGAATGAGGTAAGACAAAATTTCTACATTCCTCACCTTCGAGCAGCAGTACGGAAGACGTCACGAATTTGTCAAAAGTGTAAGATCTATAAATCACAGCCGTCCACACCAAAAATGGCACCCCTGCCAACCGCCAGATTAGCATCTTTTGAACGCCCTTTCTCATACGTTGGAGTGGACTATTTCGGTCCGATGTTAGTGAAGGTTGGGCGCAGTCACGCAAAGCGTTGGGTGGCACTGTTTACGTGTCTCACCACTCGCGGAGTTCATCTCGAAGTCGCGCATAGTTTGAGTTCCGAGAGCTGCATCACGTGCTTTCGCCGATTCGTTGGGCGTCGAGGGGCCCCCGTGGAAGTATATAGTGACAATGGAACCAACTTCCAAGGTGCTGAGAGGGAGCTTCGAAAACAGATCGGCAACGGTCTGGCGGAAACATTTACCAATGCCAATACCAAATGGTTCTTCAACCCACCCTCAGCTCCGCATATGGGTGGAGCTTGGGAGAGGCTGGTTCGTTCTATAAAAACCGCCATAGAAAGTATCGACACCGGAAGAAAGCTTAACGACGAAGGGTTTCAGACATTACTAGTCGAAGCGGAAAGTATCGTCAATTCTAGACCGTTGACTTATCTGCCTTTGGAGTCAGAAGAGCAGGAGGCCCTAACGCCGAATCATTTTCTGCTTGGAAGCTCCAGTGGGGTCAAGCAACCAGTTGCGAACCCCACGGATCAGCGGGAGGCAGTCCTAAACAGCTGGAAGCAGATCCAACATCAGCTAGACATTTTCTGGCGTCGTTGGTTGAGGGAGTATCTGCCAACGATTTGTAGGCGTACGAAATGGTTCAGCGATACCAAGAGATCTGAAGTAGGTGACCTAGTGCTCATTGCGGATAGTAGCAAACGGAACAACTGGATACGGGGACGAATAATGGAAGTACAGCCGGGGCCCGATGGTCGGGTACGACGAGCTACAGTTCAGACGAGCACGGGATTCTTAAGAAGACCAGTCAGCAAGTTGGCCGTGTTAGACGTCAGCGATCCAAGTAAAACTGCTCCGGATACGCAGTGTTACGGGGGCGGGAATGTTGCCGTACAAGCTGGCAACGCTGGTTAGTATCATAGTACCAACTCTGCAGAATTAATTCCAAACGGTGATGACGGGCGAACATCAGAAACTCAGGAAATACAGAACAAAGCCCTATTAAATGCGTGATAGATAGTGCGTGGAAGGCAGATGAAATTAAATAATACAGTGAATTTATTAATATTCCTAACACTATATACGTAATCGTATTACTACAGTAAGCTGAGGCTATTTCCGTACGTCAAAGTGATTTCAGCTGGATAACGTAAGAACGTAACTTAAAATTACTATATATTCTTACATAAACAATTTAATTATAATTTATCATAGGTGCGAACTAATCGCGCTAGAAATCGCAGTACCAAATACCTAAAATTTGATTAATTAAATTGACGTATAATTGTGAGTAAAACTTAAAGAAAAACAATATGCAGATGAAAATGTAAAATTTATAAAAGTTATGTACTTACAGCCCATAGTACGATATTTAATTCTATTGTTAGCGAGCCTAACCTAAAATACGAAGCCTACACTGAATTGTAAGTCTACACTACACAATATTAACCGAATATCTAAACTAATAAAAATAAATAATTCCAGCTTAAGCTCATTTGCTAAAAGACCGTGTTTCGTGTTTAGTTTATTCGTTGGAATAAGTGATTTTGTCCAATCATCTTAACAAAAAATAGTAGAAATTCTCATTACTGATCGTTACCAAACGTATCCCATGACAATTTAATGCTCACTGCGTGTTTATGATCATTTCTTCGATTATATTTTATATTTTATTGCAATACCTTTCGTGGACCTTTCATATCATCGTAATGTTTGTTTACTTTGTACGATAGGTAGCCGGTTTGACAGTTCAATAGGTAGACTTGGCTTCACTCTTGGCGTGACTCATTATACACCGACTGTACCTTATTGTATTGTCAAATTAAGTGATTTGACAATATACGCCATTTTGTTTTGATTTTTTTTTTTCACATTATCAACTTATTCTGGATCCTTCTTGAAGTTTCTAGTAATGATTGTTCAATATTTTAAAAAATGACCGGAGCATAATGCATTCGGCGGGTTCTAGTTTTTGGCTACAACTGCAACGTTGTTGGTTTCATATAATTTTCATGAAACTTTATCGCAATGACAAGACACGAGATCTGACCAATCAGCTTAGGGTATCAGTGATTTCTAATAAAAAGCAATTCGCATTTGTTCAAACACTCGCTCACGTAACTATTCTGAATTATGATGCCAGCTGCCATAAAGATAATTGCTCTTCAACTCACCAGTGCAAATCACCTGCCCGGCCAAATAGTTTTCTTTAAAATGTCATTTGATTTTTTGCCTAAGTTGTTTTGAACTAGTTCTATTCCGGTTGCAGTATAAAATTATTGACCAGGAAGCTGTTTAAAATCAGCTTTCACAAAGAATGATTGGAAATTAACGAATGCGCGGGCAGAATTATAAAATGCCGGTTCTCTTATTTGATATCCATCTTAAAAACTGAATGCAAAACACTGAAACCAAAAATGGAAAGAGATTTCGTAGACACACACCTTCGAAAATCAACGATTATTATTTTTTTAAAGTGCACGCTAAACAGAAATGTACTATATTTGATTTGATTACTTTTTGATCGTTCCACCCTTTAGATACAGCCATTTGAAAAATCAAGTTTAGAAAGGTTGGGCAGGCCTGGTCTAAACAATGGTTTTTTGTGCCAAATTTCACAAAAAAAAACGTTAAAACAAAAAGTTCAACAATTCGTCTAAAAGTTGTTGTTTAATATTTTTTGAAAATTTTACAGAAAATATAATTTTTCATAAGTTTTATAATGAAAAATATAGTTGAAGATGCTAATTTCAAATAACAGACTGTAGTGGTAATTTTTTATACGATAGATGGAGTAGATGAAAGCATAGAGTTGATAGTTCCGTTAGAGTACGGCAGTGTGAAGATTGCATATAGATATTAGAATAGCGAGCTAGGACAAATTTTAAGGAAGGTACAAATCGGTTTTTTCATCTCTCTTTACCAAACTCCCCCCTAACGGAACTATCAACTCTATGCTTTCATCTACTCCATCTATCGTATAAAAAATTACCACTACAGTCTGTTATTTGAAATTAGCATCTTCAACTATGTAAATCGTTGACTTCACGTACAAGTAATACTAAAACATATAGTCAAAGTAATGAAAAATATTCAAACAATATTGATGAGGGTCATTTTTTGTTATTTAAATTTTAAACACTTTGTTGGATTTTCCCTCCAAAATTACTTGATATTTTTTACCGTGTATATTTTTCCTGTAATTTAATTATTATTTCTTACAACTTTGTCTCAGGCGTCATTTTGATTGGAAGTTATATTTTAGAGCTATGATTTGTTGAACAAAAATCGAATACGTCATTTTTTTTGCCTGTCTCAAAATGACCGAATTTTGGTTCAAATTTGAATGATCGACCATAACAAGCAGTTATACAAAGTTGCTTGCAAATCTATGAAATCTGCATCAGATCAATTGGTCGTTTGGCGTGGAACTGTTTTATAGCAAAATGCGCTGCGAAGAGGGTATCTAAAATTGGTCAACAAAATGTTACGTAATTTATAGATAGTCCGTTTGCCCTAGGATCAAAAACAGGAACACTAATGCCAAAAGTCATACTGATTAAACTGATGCAAAATTTGAAATTTTCGCTCCACAGTGCTTAAACGGTTTCAGTTTGGGTCCTGCTTAGCCTCCCAAAATTTGAACTACTTTAGTACGAAACTGACTTGGCACAAACCATTTCAATTTTATATGGGAATTACTATAGGAAAACTTTTGTTTTTGTTCAAAGCTATCTAAAAATTCACCAGTTCACTCTGCTTAAAAAAAATGATAGCTGTTGAAAATTTTCTCAGCTACAACTTTGTTCAAAACTCCTTTTCAATCAAATGAAAGGAACAAAAGTTATTATTGATTCAAGTCACTGATGTCTTATGACTATGCTCATTCAACTGTTCAGCAGGCAACATTGGTGTTTCTGCTGCGAAGAATAGAGCACAAATATCATGGCTACTATGTTGCACTGCAGAATACAGTGTTGCCCACAGAACAGCTGCTTGATCATGTCATAGAATTATCAATCTCTTAAACAATTAATATCATTTTAATTTGACATTTGGACAGTGATGTCATTTCACCCAAATACGACTCTAGCGTACGTATATTTTTCCACCTCTGAGGATGTATGCATTGCTACTCATACGAGCAAATCACCACGTTTACGGTGAGAACACAACAAACCCAGTGTGAGAGAGTGCTTATTGAGAATTTTTGTGGTGAAAACTAAAATCACTCTCTCTAGAGAAATGAATTTAAATGTGCTCCCGAGTTCACTCACCTAAAAGTTCTCGAGGGTTTACCTCTCCAGAGACCTCACTGCAGAGCCCACTCTTCAGAGCATAGATTTGAGCGCTGTTGAAGCATTCTTTTCCTACTAGCATATTAAGCTTGTAGGATTTCTGCAGATGAGTGCTTCGCTTCGTGCGTGTCGGTTGTTAATTTTGTTTGAGTGATTGAAAATAAAAAAATGGCTGAAAAAAGAAAAAGGGAAGATGTTGTGCAGCAATTCTTTAATAAGAAAAAAGTGCTGAATACAGAAGGAAAGGAGATTTTCTTATCTTGGTGTTCGTTGTGTGGCGAGGCTGGTAAGCCATTTAAATGTGATTCGACGTTTAATTTGTCGCGACATTTAATGGTTAAGCATAAAAAAGAAGCAGAAGAAAGTGGAATTACTGCACCTGAAGAGCAAGTGATCGGAGGAGATGCTCCGGCCAAGCCTAATCGAATCAGTGTAACCATCGATAAAAACACGTACATCACGTCATTAGTGCGATGGATTACTGAATGCAACATCCCAATGAACTTTTTTGCAAAGAAGTGCGCGAGTGATGTTTTGTGGCCACTTGAAAGTGCTTTGAAACTAAACAGTGTCAGCCGAAGGAACATAATGCGATATGTTGAAGTTGTTGAAGCTCGTATGACAACTTTTATACGGGATCAATTGAAAGGCAAGTTCGTGTATATTAAGGCTGATATAGCTTCACAAAAAGGTAGATCCGTATTGGGAATAAACTGCCAAGTTGTTATTAAGGGTAAAATTGTTGTTCGTACCCTGGCAATGGTTGAGCGACCGGATCGAAATACAGCTGAAAACATTTTCAATGACATTAAGAAGGTTTTGGAAAAGTTTGATATCGACCTCAAACAAGTGTACTCTGTAACTACGGATAATGGAAAAAACTTTCTTAAAACGTCAGTGCTAATGAGAAACGCGCAAATGATAGTGTTAAACGAAAACGAAATGCAAGGACTCGCAGAATCCGAACAGAATATCATTGAGAACAGTATCGTTGAATTGGGGAACCAGGACGAGGATGGAGATGAAGTATTCGCATCTATTACGTAAGTGAATTAATTTTTTTCATAAAAAAAAAAAAACTGCTGTGTATACGACATTGGAACGGAAAAAATAAACACCGTGATTTTTTTTCAATTTCATGAAAAGTTCAAAGCTATAATTTTTCAGTATGTTTATCAAAATTTCAGAAATGTTGACTGCTGTTTAGTAAAATATTGACAATTTATCGGTACTGGTTTAAGCTTGATTGACTGAGTTTTTATGACGTTTGAGCAATTTTCGTAAAACACGTCATGCTGAAATACCCGTTTTCAAATTGTTTTTTTTTCTCGAAGTACAATGAATTAAATTAACTGCAATTTTATTCGCGATGAAAAAGTTCGGAAATCATGATTATTATTTTATTTTAACAATAAAATATACTAATTTTACAATTACGGTTAACACTTTTGTGTTTTATTTTTCGGCCAACGGTCCCAAAGCCGTATTTAGGAAGACAACAATATTTGCGCCTTTTAGGTAAATGGTGTCTTAGAGAATGTGTCTTCATATTTATTTGGCCAATATTTTTATGTTAGTGAAATTAGGGTGGTCCATAAAATAGGCGAATTGACAAAACAAACTTTTTTATTATTTGAGATAGACCAATTCAGTGTTCTAAAAAGTTGTAGAACAATCAATTCGAAGAAACTTTGCTGGAGACACTAAATTTTCATCTCTATCGGTTTGGGCGCAAACATTGTTGTCTTCCTAAATACGGCTTTGGGACCATTGTGCAGTGTAATCTTCTGCTTTCCAATAGTAAAAAGATTAAAGGGTTGTTGAAGCTATTTTGAAAACAGAAAGTTATAATCCATTTTAGATCGATGCTATTCGTTTACCATAAATTTTGGTAGTTAGTAACGTTTATTTAGGAATTCTTAACTTTAATTATAGAATTCAGTGAATATCGTACCAATTGAAAGCATAATGTTTTGCCTATGAATTAAAAAAAAATGCAGCTCATTTAATTGATTGTAGGTTCTTCGAGAAACAACAATTTGAACAAGGTTGTAATGAAAACTTTGTCAATCAAGTTCAAAACAGTACCGATAAAAATTTAATATTTTGTCCACCAGAAATCAAAATTTCTGTATTTTTAATAAACAGGCAGAAGAGTTACAGATCTTTATTATCGTGGACCCACCACTATGTCTATGTTGTTTTTGAATCAATTGCGCTCGTTATTTGTAAATAACAAGTTTTTGGTTGTCAGAATTACAGATTTCACTAAAAATATTGAGTATCTTAAAATTTTCAAGAGCTCGAATTCATCAGTGTAGATTGTCAGTACTGTTCTGACTCTGCTAATGCTGGGGTGGGACGTGCTGTCAAATCGCCTACTGATTATTCTTGTATGAAATTGGTTCCAAACGTAAACAAACCTTGTAGGTTTCTTATGGCTTGTTTACGTTTGGATCCAGTTATGCGAGGTAGGCCACAATTGTTCGTATTTGACAGCAACCTCCCTCCCTTGTGCTAATGCTGTTAAATAAATTGATGTTTTTTTTTGTTTTCTGGCACTGTTTTCTGTGCAAATATTTTTTGCACAGTAGTCTAAAATGCACAATAATTACATACAATAAAATCAGCGAGAAACAGAGAAATAGTGGGTGGACGGTACTACCCACCACGCAAATAGAGGTATTCGATTGATTTTAATATATATACACTACATTTCGAAGTTGATAAAGGGCTCTGCACTAATTACGTTAGAGAAATGGAGGGGGGGGGGGGGTATGTTCTAGAGTTCTAAAATGTTAGACAATATTATCTCCCGAAGCAAAAAAAAATCTCCACACACATCTTCCTTTGGAAATGAAGTGAATCCGTTGGCCCTGGTTTGGTGTTATGATGTAACTTATTTTGAATACTCCAGTTGATCTCATTTTGGTTGACTTGACGGTTAACACAGCAAAAAGAAGAGCAAACTTTTACACTGTTGAATCAAACCGAAAACTAATCTTGCTTTTATCGTAACATCGTAGAACAAATCTTCTAAGGTGAATTAATAAGGAAATGGTTTCAGCAATCCATAAAAAAGTACAATGCGTTGGTGGATGATATAAGTCATATTGACAATTAATGTAAGATACTTTTTTCCTTGTAATATTTTTGATTATACCAATACATGCAAACACTTTTTTTAGCAGAAAAAGCAGATGTATGGATAGAGCAGAGAAAACACTAATGTGATAATCCCTACGTTCATGGCTCGAGTACGTTCTGCAACCTGTTTTACTTATTTTTTTTTACATTCAAACGTTCAAGTAAATATTACCCATACTTACTAATACACTTCACATTTTTCGGTCTGCTTTCGCTAACATTGGAGCTAAGGGCTCATTTATAAATTACATATCGGTTAAATCGTTCACCCCTTCGTGACACTTTTGTTACAAATATAATACAACCCTCCCACCCACACCGTTATATGTAAAGCTTTTTTTAATAAGACTGTGTTAGTATTATAGTTGACAGTTCTATTTCAAATGCATTGATTATTATTAAAAAACAAGGTAACAAAAACTGCTAGACCCATCTCCTCCCACTTTGCTGTAATATCTTGTAACACATTGATGAATTAAAGCAATCGGTCAGCACTCGATTTCTTCCATTATTTTTTATTATTATTATTAGCCCCAGTCTTTTTCAAATTGTCTCATTATTTTTTACATTGACGGTGCATGTAAACATGACGATTAATATTCTTCTAGCGGTGTCCGATTTTTATTTGAATAATTGATTAATCTATTAACGAACCGTAAAATTATTTGTAGGCGGTTATATCATGTCAAGAAAGCATTCACCCATATATATACCCGAATACCCATATATAATCCCTCGCTTTGGTGTAGAATTCAATTGAATGCAATACCAATATAATTGGATGTTGCTGTCATATAATCTATTGCTTTAGAGGCTGTTTATAAAATACGTATGCCAATTTCGAGAGGTAATAGGTCCTCCTGGAAGTATTTTTGTTTGTAAACACTCACCAGCCGCCCAACCAATATTTTATTTCGAACTTCATGTAAATTTAATTATCACCAATGGAATGTATATTGTATGGCAAAGCATCTATCCCCAGAGAAGTCGAGGAAATTTCCAACCCGAAAGATTTCCTCAACCGGACCGAGATTCGAATCCACCTCTATGAAGCCCCCAACCAACCAACTATAAGGTTAAATCAGAAGTTTGACGACCAATTTAAGGGTTTTCATAAAATGAAAAATTACAAAAAAAAAAGTTCTTAACGCCAAACAGGTTAATTTAGCTTTGACTGCGCTGCCCAATGAAATAAAGTGTTATTTTTTCTATGGCATTTTTATAAAAGAAAAATCCACTTGGGGTTGCGTCATTGTAAAATACACACATAACACCCACACTTCCATGCCAGAACATAGATCCCTGTTTATTACCTTATTACTCATAACTCGCATAGTGAAATTACATGAGTAAACTTGTATATCTACAAGAAAAGTCGGAAAAGCTACCGGTATTGGCGTTGAAGACTGTGTTGAGTTTCTTTGCGATTTTACGTGAGAAAGTGAAGGCGCGAAGAGTTTTTGATTTTTTTTCCCCCAAACACGCAACTGAGAAATACCGTTGGTGTAAAGATAGCCTTCCGACTCAACGTCAACGCCTATATCAAAAGTAAAACTAGCAATGGAGCGTCAAATCATTAAAAATTGCACTTTCTCTATGTCCAGAGCACCAACCAGTTCTCCCACTCCAGTGTTCTCTGGAGTGAGCTTCTGTGACTTCTCTGCAGTATATTCTAGAGCTCTTGTGTCGCTCACCAGTTCCCACCAGTGTAGAGTGATTTAATCTCACTGCACAGTTCATCCCAAAAACTTCACACACAGTAAGGGTGTGGTGAATAATATACTGCATGTAGTGCTCTTTCTAGAATGAACAGAGCGAGAAGATTAGAATGTTAGCTCTTGTCTCTCACAGAGGAGAATGACAAGTATGCATTTGGATAAAAAACGATATTCCTCAAAGTTGTAGCTTAGAAAATTTCTCGTAGGAATAATTATAGAAATTTTCGAAAAAGCAATATGGAAAATGGGTAGAAGACAATGCACAAAAAGTTTGGTTTTTCCATAGTAATTTCCATATAAACTTCGAATAGTTTGTGCCAAGTCAGTTGCTTACCAAATGAGTTGAAACTGTTTGAGCACTGTGCATCAGTCTAATACTCATCCATGGTCACAATTGTAAAATTTTTGTATTGCTTTTGTATAGTGCTCATAATTATTAAACAAATAATGCTCATGCTCACAGTTGTCACACAAGTGTATCCGCGGCATTACCTTAGTTCCATTAACACTCAAATTACCTTCAAGAAGTACTGACGACTTCATGGAAATTCCAAGAATTTCAAGAAAGCTACCAAAACTTCAGGGTTGTTCCGAAAGATACAAGATCCCCCAAAACTACAGGAAAGTTTATAGATCCTTCATATTAGGTTCCATACATTTCTGAAAAATATCGTCAATATTAGTGAAGATCAAAATCTTCATTACAAATACCTTACAACCAAAATCTAAGTTGAGTTTAATGATCTTAAAGGAAGTTACGTGATTGTCGGAACAGTTCTGAGAACTTCATAGCAGTTCCAGGAAATCAGGAAAACTGCGGGAGCTTGAGGGAAGCTCCGAGTGGTTCAGGTAAATTTCGAGAATTTTAAGGCTGTTCTGTAAAATTCAGGAAAATAGTGAGAAGCTTCTTGAAGTTCCAAATATTAAGATAGTCCTGAGAGCATCAGGGAAGTTTACAGAACTTAATGAGGAAACGTCACAGAACCTAAGAGAAATCAGGGAAGTGCAAAAAACAAAAATCATGAAGTTCCAGTTTTCATTGTTATAGGTTTCATGAGAGCTAATATTTGTGCTCTTGAAATTGCGAGGTGTAAATGAGATGCATCAGAAAAAAAGTTTCCACAGCGATTCACCTTAAAGCAACTGCAAACAGTCGAGTAGTTATGTGTATATTACACGTATTGAGTTTGTTATTAGATCAAACTTCAGCTATCGAATTTAAAATTGGTAGTAACCAGCTCTGACAGTACTGCAGTAGCGCAGTGCTTGAGCAAAGATGGATGTAATGCAAATACCTAATGAGCAAATATGCAAACCTTTCTTATGAGGTTGGATTCTTTGCTCACAAATTCGGTTGGAACATTTTCCGTTGAGCGAAAGATGACGCGCCATATGAGAGTTGCCAGTCTTCTTGATATGCTAAATAGGGGTAAGAGGAGCATAGTGAACAGGTGGGGCATAGTGAGCATCCCGTGCACCAGCTTGGACTTCCGGCCGTTCGGAACAAATTGGTTGGTGGTAGGATCAATATCATAATGATATTGAACCTACTACCAGTTGATTTGTTTCATGCAGCTGAAGATCCAGAGCCAAACTGCGGGATGCTCACTATGCCCCACCTGTTCACTATGCCCCTCCTCCCCCTATTTCCGCTAAAATTCAACTATAGATTTAGAAATTCAATCGAAAACCATCATTACCTTTTGGCGAGTGAATGTGCAACCAGTGCGTCCAGTTCGCGTCGTTTGCGCATCTTTTTGCCGCCGACCCGCAGCGGCACCGTCACGTGCCCGACGGATTCCATTTCGAACTGGTAGCGGCTGGCGGTGGTGGTGGTGGATTCGTCAAATGTCACCTTCGAGCGGCTGTGGCGTTTGGCACGTATGTTGGCGCGAGTCAGTTACCTTTATGGACAGGCAGAAGTACTAGCAGCAGCAGCAGCAATAGCTTAGAAATTCCTGCGAAATTGTTGTATCACTTGGAAATCATGTAACCGCTTGATGATGATTTCGAAAGAATGCACACACAGAGAGCCGGAAAGGCGCTTTTGAAGATATTCACATTGTTGAAAGCGGTCTTTTCGTTACACTTTTATCACTGACCGTTTTTCATTGCTGTTTTCGATGTTCGACGGTGGATAGGTATCACTGTTTCACTGGTCAAGTTTTTCATATCACTGCAAATGGAAAGGTAATCTCACAATCGATATCAACAAGTCCCACGACACGTGCGTGCCTAGTAAATACCATCACAGACAGCCTTGAACTGTGCCGAAAGGATTTTCCATTTGGACATGGAAATCCAATCTAGCTATTATTCCCTTGGGTGGCGACCGGCGATTGTGAAACACGAAAGGATGCCAGTGCAAAATAAAAAGAGTGATTTTTCATCACTCCCTCTCCCACTCTTAACTGCTCTTTTTCCCTGTTCTTCCTCGTCGGCTCAGATGGGAGGAAACGGGCACTGGTTGTCGTCTTTGTCGTTCCATTGAAGCCATTCTTATTTGTTTATTAGTTATGTTAAGTGCCTAGATATTACAGTTGGTATCTAAATATGCCCTGCGTATTGAAAGAAACACTGGTGTTAATTTTAAAACTTGCCCCTACCAATATCACGGTATACATGGGTCAATTCCACAGGCACGGTGGCCAAATACATACCAGGGCTACAATCAGTCTTCTTGGAACAGATTTCGTTTGGTTAGCTTATTCTGGTGAAATGTCCGTGCTTCAGCAGTGATTTTAGGCTGCATACATCAGTTTATTTTTTATCACGCTTCGAATTATCGCCCAATCACAAATAAACAATCACAAAAGTCATTAAATCTTCAGGGCTGCCAAACTCATGGGATACTTGATTGACACGCATCGGCACAGCGTTTCGCATAGCTTTCGCCACAGCGAAAACTATCGGCACAGCGAAAACTATCGGCACAGATTGGGGTGTGCAGAGTTGATTCCCCCCTTCGATTTGTGAATAGAAAACGATTTTCGGGAAAAAAAATTATTTGCTTAAACACCAATAAAAAATATTTGTGCAATAAATGTTCAAAATTTGTACTAATAGTTGATGTACTACGTTTTGGTCAATTTTGAAAGGTCCATTGTGTCCATTTCAGAAAAGTTAGCATTTTTAATAAGCTTCCGAATAAACATAAATTTAAAAATCATAACATGTACTTTTTTGTTTTGGAAGTTTTAAATATAGTTGAAGATGTTAATTTTAAATAACAGACTAAAGTGGTAATTTTTATACGATAGATGAGGAGGAGATAGTTCTGTTTAGAGTACGGCAGTGTGAAAATTGCATATAGAGAGTAGACAGCGAGCTTATGACAACTTTTAGGAAGGTATAAATCGGTTTTATCATCTCTCTTTACCAAACTCCTCCTTGGAGAGGGATGGTGAGGGGAATCAACATTTCTAGCTAATTTAGATGAATTTAGGCATCTAAATTAGCTAGAAATGTTGATTCCAAAACCGAATGGAAATTATTCTCATGAGTGCATGAACATTGGAAAATGACAAGAAAGCTCATCATATGTAGTTTCGTCTCATAATAGTGAGAGAACCTGTTTTCTCTTTGTCACATGACGGCCGTGATATTTACCAGCTCTGGTAATGGCAGGATCAAGTGGACGACTCTATCTACGATGCAGAAAAGATTTTGTTTTGCTGTGGCTAGCTGCACGCACGCTGAGTAGATAGAAAGAAGATTTATGTCGATTTTCAAGATTTCCTGCAAATAGATGAAGCACGATGCAAGTAGATGCGAGAAATTAAAGATGATTTTTCGAAGATTGATTCGCTAGTGACGGATTTCACGCCAACTCATGTGGTTGGCAGCACCCTCTCAGAACCTTATGGAACTTTGTGGGTGTGGAGACTTAGCAATTTTAAGCAACTTTGCGTACTTATTTTTTTCAAAATTTATCTCGCCTAACATTTGATAAGGGTCAAAGTTTTTTGTCGATTTTTTTTTCAAATTGATATAGCTTAAAAATGACAAGCCCTACAAAAAAGTGATGTATGGCGAACTTTTAGCAAATAATCTGAAATTTTATAAAAAAATTTAAATAAAATAAAAAAATCGGTTTCTACACTCTAAAAAAATATATTTAAAAATTAAAAGTCATTTTTCCAAAAATGGTACCCCTCAGATTTGCTTGATATTTTTTCTCATGAAAGGCAATATAATTACCTAACTTTTCTTCATACATTGCAAAGTGGGCGCTTTTAAGGAAAAAAAGTTGTTCGAACAACAACTTTTTCATGTTAATTTTTTTTTAGCGTGTTTCACTCAAAGTCGAATAGTAATACGCGCACAACCTTATTAAAATTCGATTAAACTTTATGGGTATACTTTTCGATAATCTGGGCGAAATCTAGCCTAACATTTGAAAAGGGTACAGAGAAGTTACCTGCAAATCGTCCAATAAGAGTTCAGAACAAAACGTTCTAATGAGGAACAGCCATCTCAGCATGGTTTGCACTTTCCTGTGATGGATTGTATTATAATATATGCATACACTCTATCCAACTTCTATAAAACCACCCTCAAATTGTTCCAAATCAACAGGTAAACTAAGTAAAAATCACTTAGTATGTTTTATTCATGAAAAGATTTCAATTCATGTATTTGTGATTAATTTAATTAGAAAAATAATCATTCATTTATTTTTATGTATTAGGTGTGTCCATTAGTAAGCAATATGCATATATATGTTTATACCTCATCTCTCAAGTGAATACATATAATAGCGCAGGTAACTTAACGATTATTTAAGGCATGCCTAAAATAATCGTTAAGTTACCTGCTATATAGCAGTTATATAACAACGCAGGTAGTCACATGAGAGATATAAGGTATAAACTTAAAGCACCGCAGTCTGTTTCTACCGACATAATCTAATATTTAAGTTTGGTGATATCACAACAATGCTCATAGTTGCTGTAGTGCATAGTTGTTGAAAGTGTAGTGCTGCATAGTTGTTGAAACGAAAAAGTGTTTATATATACAACAATGGAAAAATCTGCTGAATTGATTATTAAAAGGGTGCAATGCAATCCCAATTGCAGCCGCAATAATTTACGTAATTTATCATCAAGTCTCATAGAGAAAATACATTCATGGGGCTTTGATCATCAATTGGATGTAACAATGCGTATTTGTGAATCGTGTCGTGGAATTTTAGTGCACAATAGGACACCTCTCCCGAAAAAGAGGCGATCGGATGGAAAAGAATCAAGCCATGCTCGGAAGTTTGAAGAGCCGCAACCATCAACAAGTCATCAGCAATCAGAACATCAGGAATTTGATGATACACTAGGTAAATAATAATAACTTTAACTGTTTCAACTGTGTGGTTTAAGGATTGTACATCGAAGATACAACTTCATTTTCAACATTTTTTTAGAGCACGAGCTGGATGAACCGCTTATCGTACAAATTTGATCGATTGGTAGGCCAACCTCGGTGAACAATCTATCAAATTTTCACGACTGTACGATATGCGGTTTATGCAGCTCGTGCTCCACAAACATGGGGAAAATTCAGATGCGGCTTCGATGTACCGTAAACGGGGATGTCTTTGATAATGGAGGTAACTTTGATAATGCAGCTAATCCAAAAAGTTATGACTTAATGCTCTTCGTATTCATTATTTTGGAAGGGAACATCGGTTTCCTATCCAAAATATTGCGTACGATGTGCCTTAAGTCATAAATTTTTGGCTTAGCTGCATTACCAAAGTTACCCCTATTATCAAAACCACCCCCGTTCATGGTACTATCACCTTAACAGCGTTATATATTAATGTGTGGTAATATTTTTTTTTTTCTTTAATTTTACAGATACAGTTCCATCGCTAGAATCAATCCCATCAGCGGATCAGATCCAAGGTCCATATAATGTGGAACAATTCAATTGTATAGCTTCAACCTTACAGTTATCACCAATTTCATCGAGAAGTATGAGAAGTATGAATTATCGTGTTCAAAAATCTGCAGAGATCACAAAGGCAGTGCGTAAAAATATATTTGGGATGGATTCAGACGATGTCAACAAATCAAATGATTTTGACGAAATGATCATGCAGTTAAAGGAGAAATTTAATTTGCCTTCTACGAGTACAAATGACAAATTAAAAGTGTTATCAAAGCTCCCTACATCATGGTCAGTGAATCAAATAGTTAATGAGTTTAATGCACCCCATCATACAGTGAAACAGATGAAAAGGCTAGTCAGAGAACAAGGTATTCTTTGTAGTAAGAAAGCAAGAAGTGGTCATGGATTTAATGATACTGAAAAACAAATTGTTTTAAATTTCTTTGACAGTGATGATATTAGTAGGCCTATGCCAGGAAGTAATGATTATGTTTCTGAATATCGAAATGGATATAAAGAGCATGTTCAGAAACGTTTATTGATGATGTCTCTTAAAGAGGCTTTTATGATTTTTGAAGAGAAATACAAAAGTGTTAAAATCGGATTTACTTCGTTCACTCAGCTCCAACCAAAGCATTGCATACTGTTGGATAGTACAGGTACACATAATGTATGTGTCTGTACTATACATGAAAATGTTAAATTGATTATTAATAGTGTAAAATTTGATTCATATATAGAGAATGCTGACAAAATACTTTGCAGTAGTCCTATTAGAACCATAGATTGTTTTTATCGTACATGTGAAGAATGCATTTCCACAGATAGTATCGTGAGGGAACTTACATCAGTATTAGAAGCAGATGATATGGAAGAAGTTTTATTTCAACAGTGGTTGACTACCGACCGTTGTAATTTGGAAACTATTATTAAACCTGCAGATGAGTTTGTTCAATACTTGACGGAAAAAGTTGAAAAGCTCATAACCCATGATTTTATTCATAAAGAGCAATCATCTTACCTAAGTAATAAAAAAAATTCTCTTCAAAACGGTGAAATTTTAGTGATTTGCGACTTTTCTGAAAATTATTCATTTATTATTCAAAACTCAGCACAGGGGTATCATTGGAACAATAATCAAGCTACGATACATCCTTTCGAAATTTACTACATAAAAGAAAACAAGTTGGAAAATTTAAGCTTTATTATTATTTCAGAAGTATTGACCCATGATACAATAGCAGTTCAATTATTTATATCAAAATTGTTAGATTTCATTAAACAATCTAT